TGATTTCGGCGTGCGCTTGGCCCACGCTGGGCCTGCGCTGGGTCTTTTTTTTTTCTTTATCGGTAAATGCTTTACGGCGCTTGCAACTGCATAAGGTTATATGAGCGCGGGGGGCACACCTAATATTTTCAGTTGGTAGGAAATTTTGAATTTTGCCCGGGTGGCGGCCGAAGCCTACTCTTATCGATTTTAGCGTGCACAACTTGCACACGGGCCCTCTGATATTTTTCGCCCTTGTCCGAGAAGGCAAGAGGGAGATCTTTCCTACCAGAAGATCAGGGGTGTGGCTGAAAGACAGCAGTAGGAAGGAGCCAATGAGTAGCAGAAGAAAGGCTGCAGAAAGAGTCAGGGGCCCTAGGAGGGGACAAAGGAGGTGATGGCGTGGGGGCGGAAAGAGGAGACGAAAGCAGACAACAGAACATTGCTAGACAGCAGGAAAGTAGGTGAAAGGAAACAATTTTAGAGAACAAAATGTTCGGTCGCTTCCCGGATTCGAACGTGGGACTTTTGAATGAGGGGTCTAACACCTTAACCTCGAGGATCAAGGCCACGAGAGCCCCCTTATGTGAGGTTTGCGCAGTCCAATCGAGGCCAGGCCTTGAGGACGGCCTGTGTCGCGTGCAGGGGCGTGGCGTCACTTCCAGAGAAGGTGGCGCCAAGAACAAATTTATGCACAATAAATTTTATAGTATTGCCTACTTATTACAGGTCTAAACACTGCAGACCTACAATATACGCCCCTTCGTTTAATTTTAACACTGATATATAGGGCCATCTACTTCCATGCGAGAAGAGTAGATAAGTGCCGGTGCAATCGTTTATACATAGAGAGAGATCTGATGATAAAGAACCAAGTTCGGCACTTAAGATGCGCACAATCACATCACATCATAATCAAACACAAAACAATAACTTCCCACAGATCAACAGAAAAGCACACGTTCACAGCCAAGAACGCGCATGCACTATTGCCCTCGGGGCGTCTTGACATAATGATCGACCCCATTCCTTGATTCACTTGCAGTTCTGGTTTCTAGAAAGCAGACAATAAAACCTACTTTTAGACAGTTCGCAACCATGCCATGTCCAGGCTAACTACCACTCCACCCCCTCCCTACCATACATACGGCAAATCCATCTTGGCCTATACGTTCTTATACTATCTCTGACCGTCTAGATCTTGGCCCTTTGGCCCAACAGTACAATCTTTTAGTGTGATGGGAGTACCTGTTGTAGCATTTTTGGCTGAGTTATGTTCTTGGTGATATCTCTTGTATCTTCCGTCAAACGTCTGGATGGGGTATTAAAGAAACTTTTTTTTTTCGCTATTCTATGAAAGAAAACCCTGTTTTCAACTGATTGAATCAATAGTTTATAGATAATTTTGAATTATTTTGACCACCAAACTTCACACCTAAACAATGAACACTCTGATGGGTTCAGGCAGAGACACTGATTCAGGTAGCGCAAATCTGGGCTCGGCGCCGCCTCGGTGACGTCAGACGTAGAGAACGAAAGACGCGGGGAGACCGAGGCGCTAAACTATATATTTCCACCTTGGGGGAGACCCTTGCCACCGGCAACCGGAGGCTTACCCAGGGCTTACCCGCCCTCCTTCCACTAGCCTAATTATAGATACGTTAACTAAAGACTGGCGTACTTAGAGGTGAACAATGAATAAGAGATTTGCTTTAAAAAATATTGTGATATTTTGTTAAGTTTAGGAAAATCGTATTCTTGAAAATCCCTTCTCCGTTTCGATGGGTGGCGCCATGGCGTCATTTGCGCTTGGAGAGCCACGCCACTGGTCGCGTGTGGCTGCCATAAAGTGGCTCGAAGGAGGGACATCCCGGGAGCCAATTAAAAAAATATAAATCTGCATGATGAGGGTTTAGTTTTATCAAGAAATGCAGTTCACTCGGTGTAAAGATGCTCCTACCGCGGTACGCGTATAACACAGGTCAAAACACCCGGCACGGCGAATACCATTTTAATTGCCACGCGGCACTGTAACAATTTTTATGCATACACGACTGATCAGCAGTACAAGAAGAAAAAACAAAACAAAATTGTTTGTGACGTTTCCTAGCGCGCACGTTGCCAAACACAATTATAGTGAAAGCGAATGATAAGTTCCTTTAAAAAATGTAATCATATTATTATTATATTTGATCTCTCTCTCTCTCTCTCTCTCTCTCTCTCTCTCTCTCTCTCTCAG